TTATATGCTGTACTGGACAGCTTTAGTTGTCAACTTGACACACCTGGGTAGAGGGAACCTCAATTGGGGAATTTCCTTCATTGGACTGGCCTGTGGCCATGTCTGTGGGCCATCTTCTTGATTATTGAGTGATGTGGGAGGGCCCAGCCCACTGTAGGTGGTGCCACTCCTGGGCAAGTGGGCCTATGTTGTATAAGAAAGCAGGTTGAGCAGGGGCCGGGGCAGCAAGTCAGTAAGCAGCCTTCCTCCATGGCCTGTGCTCCAGCTCCTGCCTCGGGCTCCCTGATGAACTGTGACCCAGGAGATGTAAGCCAAATAAACCCATTCCTCCCCAAGTTGGCACTGGTCAGAGTATTTTGTCACAGAAATTGAAAGTAGACAAGAACATATATATATATCAAAAATGACAATATTAATAATATAAACACCATTAAAAGAGAGTTCTAGGCAGGGCAGGGCTACTCAAAACAAAACAAGGGGCTGGAGAGATGACTCAGCAGTTAAGAGCCCTGGCTGCTCTTGCAGAGGACCTGGTTATGAATCCCAGCATCCACATGGTGGCTAACAACCATCTGTAACTCCAGTTCCAGGGAATCTAATGTCCTCTTCTGTCCTCCATGGGCATTGCACAACAGGGGTGCACTTACATACATGCAGGCACAACACTCATACACATAAAATAAAAAAATCAGAAAACAAAACAAAATCCATCCAACAAATAAAAACTCCAAATAGAGGTATGTTCAGTGATTGCTTTTTCAGAAAAAAAGCACTAGTTGACCTGGGGATCTTTCCAAATGGACTCTTTTGGGAAGGACAGGGACTACTGTGGCAGAATTTCAGAAATGGGGGAGGGGTATGACTAGAACGGGAAGTACTGGACTTGAAGCCACAGCCCTAAGCAGAGTGAGGTGTTACTAAGCATGGGCCTGAAACTCTGCCTTCTCAGCTGTGGACAGCAGCGCCCCCCACTTGTATCATTAGTGTCACACCCTCAGCTCCAGCCAACTCTCTTCCAGCCTCCAGCTCTGCATCTGACATGTCTAGCACATACCATCTTTTCCCTTAAACAAACACCCCTCCCAACACCCACAATGTTGCAAGGAAACCCTTTCCCAGTGAATCATTATCAATTTTCCAAATGACACAGAATTGCTACAGTATGCACACTCTGCAGTCACTGAAGACCCTACGACATAACAGTGACAGGAGACATGTTTGCACCATGCACCCTCCAAATGCCGGTGTGTACAGATTGTTCAGTGCAATGATCACACAGCGCTATGGAGCCCAACAGGGCTGGGACTTCATGGGAGTTAAACTATGATCCACCACCTCCAAGGACAACACTCACGTAGACAAACACACACAGACACATAATTAAATGCAATAAAAATAGGGACTGGAGAGGTGGCTCAGTGGCTAAGAGCACTGGTTGCTGTTGCAGAGGACCTGGGTTCAGTTCCCAGCACCTACATGGCAGCTAACAACCATCCATAACTCTAGTTTCAGAAGATCCAATGCCCTCTTCTGGCCTCTGAGGGCACTGCACAACACAGGTGCACTTACCTGTATGCAGGCAAAACACTCATATGCTAAAAAGTAAATAAAAAATAATAATCTTAATTTTAAAAATACAGACTTGGGCCCGGCGTGGTGGTGCACACCTATAGTCCCGGCACTTGGGAGGCAGAAGCAGGTAGATCACTGTGAGTTCAAGGCCAGCCTGGTCTACATCGTGAGTTCCAGGACAGCTGGGCTACAGGGAGACCCTGCTTCAAAAAGACAAAAAAAAAAAAAAAAAAAGACTTGGAGTACTTATCCCATGAAAAATATACAAGGTGTGATGGTTCTGTCAGCTTGACACAACCTAGAATCACCTGGGCAGAGTCTCAGTCAGGGATTTTGTTGATCAGGTTGGCCTGTGGGCAGCACCATTTCCTAGGCAGGGGATCCTTGCCTGTGTAAGTGGAGAGACAGCTGAGCACTAAGCATGCATGCATTTATTCTCTCTCTGTTCATAACTATGGATGTAACTAGCTGCTTCAAGTTCTTGACACCTTAACTTCCCTGCAATGACAGGTTGTAACCTAGAACTATAAGCCAAATAAACCCTTTCTGCCCTAAGTTGCTTTCTGTCAAGGTATCTTTATCTCAGCAACAGAGACAAAATTAAAACACAAGGATTTAGATAATGTATAGAAAACATTTACTTTTTGCTTGTTCTTGAGATAGGGTCCCCTTATGTAGCCAAGGTTGCCCTCAAACTTGTAATCCTCCTGCTTCAGCTTCCCAAGTGCTGGGATCACAGGCATGCATTACCATGCCAGGGGAAAGCACTTACATTTTGCTTATACCCAAAACATCTGCATATCCCAAAAAACGATCAGTGATTATCTCTCTGTGCTAGACTGTGATATTATGGCAGAAGTTTGTTGGGAATTGAACCTGAACTTAGGGCCTTGTGATGATTAATATTGTCAACATGGCAATCTAGAATCACCTAGGAGACAAACCTCTGGGCATGTCTGTGAGGGAGTTTCTAGATTGTGTTAATTGAGGTGGGAAGACCCATCCTAACTGTGGGTGGTATTATGTCATGGCCTGGGGTCCCAGACTGAACAAAAAGGAGAAAGCGAGCTGAGCACCAGCATTCACCTCTGCTTCCTGCCTGTGGATGCAAGTGAGCAGCTGCCTCACGCTCCTGCTGCCATGGTTTCCCGCCATGATGGCCTGTATCCTGGAACTGTGTGCCAAAATAAACCCTTCCTTCCTTCCTCCTTGGTTTTGTCACGTTTGATCACAGCAATAAGGTAATACAGGCCTCATGCATGCCAGATGAACATTCTGCCACTGAGCTATATCCCCAGTCCTAGGAATATGAATAACTTTTTATGTGAATAATAAGCAACCTTGAGTTATCTTTAATTCCTTTTTTAAAAGTATTTTATTTTTATTTTATGTGTATGAATGTTATGCCTGCATGTAAGTAAGTGCACCTGTGTAGCGCAATGCCTGTGGAGGACAGAAGAGTTATGGACAGTTGTTAGCTGCCATGTGGGTGCTGGGATTTGAACCCGGGTCTTCTGCAAGAACAGTGTTCTTAACTGCTGAGTCTTCTCTCCAGCCCCTAATTCATTTTTTTTAAAATAGCTTTCAGGACTCTTTAGCAATCCTTTGACTTTTGGGCTTGTACTCGCATTGCATTCGAACTCCCAGGCACACCTAGGATACTTCCCAGCAGCCTCCTGCACTCATTACACCCCTCAAAATCTGACCAGGATTGAGCCCTCCTCCTGCTGGCACTGTGCCAGCAACATGCCAGTGGTACTCAAAGCTTCCCAGAGCCACCTGGTCACTCCCAAACCCTTCTTGTTCAAATTCCTGTCAATCTGGAGGCCCACAGCTCCACAGATTGCTTTGGTCTCAGTGTCCTCTTCCCTTGTTGAAATCCTGTCACCTGAAGGCCCCCCCCCACCTCCAGGGCTCCCCACAAACGTGTAGAAAAGAAGCCCTTGCAAGGGACACCCCCTTTTTCTGTGCTTACATACATATGACTTTTCCCCTCAGGCTTGTATCACATTCTGCCCAGAACAGATTTGACCTTAGGCCTTCAAATTAAATGGATCTGGGCAGACCCTCTAGAGTGAAAGCTCCATTCTAATTAAGCAGAACACGAGCTATTGTTAGGGACCCTCGTCCCTGGGTCAGTAAATCTCTTAAAGAGCTAGAAGACAGACTGAAAGAAAGACCTTGTGACATTTCTTGAAAGGAACCTGTCAGGGCCAGTAGCCATACCCCACCTTTAACACTTATCAGGCAGACTGGCAGCTGCTCATTTTCCACCTTTCCCATAGCTGAGATTCAGAGCTCCGCCCAAGGCATAATTACAAGGTTCTGCACTTTAGTCACAGCAGGAAGGACCTGAGAAATACCTTAGGGAATGCAAGTTGGCTCCTAAACCTGAGAACTGGGCTCCCAGTGGCCCAAATCCCTCTCTTGGGATGTTTACAAAGCAGAGCTTCACGCCTAAGTGGAAGAAAAAATTCTCACACACCCCTGGGTGAGTCTTCTTATTCCACCCAGGGGTTCGGGCCATGTTCAAGTGCAGGCTGTAAACACGCTAGGTGTGAATTTATCTAATTAAATTGCAATTCACCAGCTGTGCCACACTCAGGTTAACAGTTATTAATAAATAAAAACAGGGGGCTTGGAACCTGAGATGTAAAAAGCTTAGGAAATCTTTTCACAAAGAATTAGGTATCACTTCCATGCCAGTTGCAGAGTGGACAGTCTCTGACCTATTAAGTGTTAAGTGTTAAGCCTGGTTTCTAGATTCATTAAGTCTCAGTTTGCAGATCCGCTCCTTAAAGGAGGTATAAATTGAATTTTCTAAACAATGTATCAAATGCACTAGACGATTAAAGAATTCTGAAACTTTGGCAAATTTATCTTAGGGGACAATAAAGTTCCTTAATATTTACCAGGCCCAGTGGATCTTGGACTGGGGGAAGGAAAAGGGGCAGAGGATTACAGGAGGGAGGGCTCTTCCTCCCTCCTAAACTGCCATGGGGAGCCAGTTGGAACTGGGCTCCCAGCGGCCCAAATTCCCGCCCTGGCGTCACCCTGAACCTCAAGACGCGGTGCAGGAACATCTAATGCACTTCCCAGGGCTGAGAAAAACTAAACCCTATTGTTTGAGACCAGACGCACCGACTTCACCAGGCCTGAGCACCGCTTCCGCGCCGGTAATCGGATTCCGGCCGCGCGGCCCGGGAGGGGCCAGCCGTCCATCTGTCCACGCCAACCTGCAGGCGCGCAGGAAACCTGTCCTCTCGGGACGCGGCAGGGGACCGCGCCGCGCCCAGACCCGACCACGGCGAACCCCGGCTGCCCTCCAAGCGGGCGTCTGGCTGCGGGGAGGCCGAGAAGGGCGAGCGGGCTACCGAGGGCTGGTCGACCAGTGTCCCCCGACGGGGCTCACACCGCCCGGTCCTTACCATTTCCTTGCGCAGCAGCGCCAGCGCGGCGTCCAGGTTGGGGGGCTTCGCGCGCAGCCTCGCTGCCCACGCCCCGCCGCCACCCACGCCCCCGCGGCTCAGCTCGTCCTGGATGCGCGACTTCTGCGCGTACAGCCGCTCCAGGTGCCGCCAGCCGCCCGTCGCGCCGCCGCCCGCCGCCGAGTGCAGCAGGCCGCTCAGACTCTTGGGCAGCGGCGGAAGCCCGTCCACGCGCAGCCCCCGGGCCGTGCCCGCCGACCCGGCCCCGCTCATCGCGCCACGGCCGGGCCACAAGCACAACTCCCGGCCGAGGTTCGCAGCCCCGCGGGACCCCGCCCACTTCCCGCCCGCCGGAGTCCCGCCCGCGGCCCCGCCCTCCCCGAGGTCCGCCCCCTCCCGGATCCTCTTCTGCCCCCGAGGCCGCGCCCCGCCGCTGAGGTCGCTCGCCTCTGGCTATGTTCCCACCCTTCAGCGGCCCCCGCCCAGGGCCCTAGGTAAAGTGGAGCGGAGCCAGGGGAACCCAACCTACAACCCGTCCCACCGCTCTGAGCCGCACCTCCAGTGTCTCCGCCTCTCCACCTCCCACCTCCAGGCCCAGCCCCATCCCCAGCGGGTCTACCCCCTACTCCAGCCCCAGTTCCAGCCCAAGTCCCACCACTCCAGGCCCGCCCCGTCTTCGGCGTCCCCAGCCACTGCACCCCTCTCTCCCCTTCAAGGAAGCTCCTGCTCCCTCCCAGATCCATGCTCTAGGCTGGGTCCAGTCTGGCCACGCCCACCAGTCCCTGAAATTGCTGGACTCCACCCATGGCGCCCAGCCCCAGCACGTACCCCACGGTAGGGATCAGATCGCCGGCGAGGCCTCGGGAAAGGAGGCCACCGGGAGGCATGACAACAGCCAGGTCCGCACAAAGCACATGCTCACGCGGGCTTAGTGATTTCTTGGGCGGTGTCAGGGCCTCCTGAACTCCAGCAGCCAAGAAGGACACTGGCTTCACTTTGTGAAGTGGTGCGTAACTTTAATCCCAGCACTTTGAAGGCAGAGGCAGGCGGAGCTTTGTGAGTTCGAGGCCAGCCTGGTTTACATAGTGTGTTCCAGAGCAGCTGAGGCTACAGGAAGACCCTGTCTCAGAAAGATAGAAAAGAGATGAACAAACATCTTTCAGCCCTGCCGGGGACACAAGAATAATTATAAATTAAAAGTCGGAAATGGCGACAGGGACCCACATGGTGGAAGGAGACTCCTACAAGTTGTCCTCTGACTTCCAGGACCCGTCATGTGCTCGCCCTCGTGCTCTCTCTCACTCTCTCAAAATAAATGGAAAAAGTTACAAACAAAACGACAGGGAGTTAGGGAAAGGCTTGAATCTCGGGAACTCTCTGCCAACTTAGGCAGAAATAAACACAACCACTCCTTAAAGAAAGGAGAGAAGAGACAGGCTCTGCCCTTCCAGGAAGAATCAAACCATGTGGAGAGATAGCCCGCTCCTTTTCAAGGTTAGGAAATCAGAGCTCTCTGGTCAACAGCAGGGAAGCCCAAACAGCCTAGAGTGAGAGTTTTAATATCGTGATTAGTGAGCTAAGCATAAAGGCACTTAATGATCTAAATGAATTCAGTAAGAGCATAATTATAAAGTGTTCTGAGCACTTCAGTCACCCACTGTAACAGCCCGCTCTAGCTTTGGGGGCTTTCTTCCACCGTGCCTGGAGTCAACCCCAAAAGCAATCTGGAAAATTAATGTTGAGACCCCATAAGACAATAGGGAGCTGAAGGCCAGGCTGTGAGATCCGGAGGCACCTAGAAGGCTACCCACCCCCTCCTGGCCAGAATTTCCTAGTCCAAGTGTCTCCTTCCGTAATTATGCAGCCACCTTTCCAAATGCCAGGCATTTCTTCATCTACCCAGTGCTGAGAGAGCTTGTGTGGGAGGCAGGAAGGGGAGGAATGGAAAGCATTTAGCCATTCACACCCTGGCCTGGATTCTTTTCTGTCTGCCACCTTATTGCCTTTCCAGCAGGACTTAGCAGACAAGTAAGGTGATGGTGCAATGGGAAGCAATTTGAAAGCATCCTGGCACTGAAGTCACCTTAGAGTACATCCTTCCTAGGATGATGGATGCTGAAGGAAAAAGGGTCGGGGCAGCTAGAAAATAGCCTGAGCCCCCTAGAGTCAGAACAAGGTTAATGCCAGCTTCACAGTTTCAAAGGTAGGCCCTGTATGCTGGTAGGTACTCAAGGAAGTACCTACCCAAAATCTCCATCAGCAAATAACACCCCAAGGTAGATAGAAATCTCTACAGCATTTCACAGATAAGAACTATATGGATAAACCAGACACAATTATGCAACAGCAGACCGAATATTTTGACACCTATGAAGAATGTTAGTGTGTGCTTGCTTTGTTTATTTGTTTATTTATTTATTTATTTATTTATTTATTTATTTATTTATCCATCCATCCATCCCAGGGATCCAATACTGCTTACACCTGCTGAGCAAGGTCTTTACCATGGAGCTACACCCTCAAGCCAGTGCCTGCTTGTGTGTGTGTCTGTGTGTGTGTGTGTGTGTGTGTGCAGGTACAGGTCTGTGCTGGTTAGTTTTTGTCAATTTGACACGAAGAAGAGTTGCTTGGGAAGCTGGAACCTCAACTGAGGAATTTTCTTCATCAGCTTGGCTGGTGGCCATGTCTGTGGGGCATTTTCTTAATTACTAATTAATGTAGGAGAGCCCAGTCCATTGTGGACAATGCAATCCCTGGGAAGGAGGGCCTTAACTGTATAAGAAAGGTAGTTGAGCAAGCCAGGGGGTCAAGTCAGTAAGCAGCGTTCCTCTATGGTCTCTGCTTCAGTTCCTGCCTCCAGGTTCCTGCTTTAAGTTCTTGCCTTGGCTTCCCTAGATAATGGACTGTGACCTATAAGCCAAATAAACCTTTCTTCCCCAGTTGGTTTTGGTCAGTGTTTTATCACAGCAACAGAAACCAGACTAGGACAAGGTTCAAAGGCACCTTTGTACAGAAGCTAATGGTCAATGTCAGGTGTCTTCCTCAATCATACTCTACTTTTATTTATTTTGTGTGTGTGTATGTGTGTGTGTGTGTAAATATGTGTGTATGTGCGTGCGTGTGTGTGTGTGTGTGAGAGAGAGAGAGAGAAAGAGAGAGAGACTTGGCATCAAGCACTTTTATCTTCCACCTCATTATTTTAAGACAAAGTCTATCACTGAACCTGGAGCTCACAAATTCTGCTAGACTGGTCTAGCCAGCAAACCCCAAGATTCCTCCTGTATCTGCCTCCCCAGCACTGGGTTTACAAGTCCCTCCAAGCCTGACTTTTTACATGAGTGATCTGAACTTAAGTTCTCATGTTTATGTGGCAAGCACTTCACCAACTGCGCCATTGCCCCAGCCCCCAGTGCCTGTTTTTAAAGTTTCTGTTTATCAAGGGAAAGAGGCATTGAAACAACTTCTGAGGATGTGTGGAATATGTGGTCTTTGCTTCCATCTTAAATGCACTCTCAATCTTCTGGAGCTACTTAGCAAGATACCTCAGGTTTAGTTATTAACAACCCAGTTTATTGCTCCCAGTTTTGAGGCTGGAAATTCTGAGATGAAAACATCTACAGATTTGGGGTCTGGAAAGGGCCTGTGCCTCATACAGAGCCTTCTGTGTGTCCTTACAGGGTGGAGGCTGGCTCCCTGGAGCCTTTTTCGTGAGGACACTAATTCCATTCATGAGGCTCCACCCGCTGGACTTAGTCACCTCTCACTAGCCAATCTACGCTGCCCAAGTACCAGAGCCCTTCCATCACACAGTGCTCCAGAGGCTGTAGAATGGCCAGAGCACACCTCCAAGATACCCCTTCTCCAAGTCACTCAACCTCGAGCCCTAGAGCTGTCTGTTAAGGAATTTCTTTGCCTCCTTACTCTCCTCTAGACACCAACCGTTTGAGGTCACTTGCTCAGGTGTCTACCAGAAAGACTCCAGCTGTATTTGACAAGTTCCAAGCAGCCCCAGACTGCTTCTTCCTTCCTTACTGTGAGCCTGTGCCTTTCAAAGCTTAAAACCACATTAAGTTTGGCGTCAATACATCACATTTCTGAATAAAGTGAGCTTTAATCCAACTGTAGTTTAACAACCATTTCCAGGGAAGTTGTACAAAGGAATTATAGTGTTAAAACCTGTAAAGGACAAATACACATATCTTTGGCATCGTACATTTCTGTAAGGGTATATGAGGGTGAGCAGCTCCCTTTACTTACAGAGAAGGGGAAGGGAGGCTGGGAAACCTTCCCTTTATACTGTGATATACTATTGACCTTTGAACTACACCACAAAAGAAGGGGTTAAAATGTTGTTTTAAATTGTTTTTAATCAAATGAATAGCCTTTTGAGACTGGAATTACAGGTGAGCCTCCATGTTCGTTTAGGTGGGATGTGGGGATCTGAACTCCAGTTCTCAGGCTTCCAAGGCAAATGCTTTAACCACTGAACCATCTCATCTTCCCAGCCCTGAAAACTTATTTTTATGTGGTTGTATTCTTTTTAACTTAAATATAATATTTCTATCTATTCATATTGATTTTCATCATTTTTCATTTGACTCACTGAATCCTAACTGGGCAAAGCTACTTGAATCTCGGGGTTTGTTTGTTTGTTTGTTTGTTTGTTTGTTTGTTTGTTTTTGAGACAGTATCTTACATTGCAGCCCAAGACCACCTAGAACTCACAGTGTAGCCAGGCTGGCCTTGAATTCATGATGAAACCCTTGCTTCAGCCTCCCAAGTGCTGAGAGGGCAGGTGTAAGTTACCATGCCCACCTCTGAACCTTGATTCTTAAGCTACTGTAACACCTATCTTCTCCAGAATTAACTCATCATCCAGATTAATAACACCACTATGTAGAGCGTTGGTAAGCTATTACTAGGCAATACTATTTTCAGGCTTGCTGTGCACTGTGTTGTGCATTTTGCAGGTGGCCTCTCATTCACTCTTCATAGTGCTCCTTGAAGTTAGTACAGTGATTCCCATTTGTGTATAATGAAACCCAAGTTGAGAGAGGAAAATTAGCTTGCCCGTGTTCACATAGGCAGTTGGTGGCAGAGCTGACACTTCACATTAATATTTCTGACTCAAGGACCTGTGCTGTTTAAGTGCACAGCCCCCCCCCCCCCTCGAGAGCAGGTGTTCCCAGCCTCGATGCCATCAATGGAAATGATAAACATGGCAGGGTCAAGGACAGAAGCATGTGCTAGAGCCTCCACTCCATTGTGACAACATTCTGTTGACTCCCATTCTTGGTGTACATTAACTATCACTCAACTGTGGACACGAAGGACTAATGG